CATATATATACTATCTTCTATATCGCTGACTAAGGCAGCAAAAGAGTGTAAACACTAGAGTGCAGATATATATATATCTGTCTTTGTCGTACCCCCGTCGACTCAAGAGACATGTGTGAACACGTGATGAGTACGCTTTTATCTTATTGGACGGTGAATTAAAAATTAATAGCAGCTGATGACCTTGATGTTTATAAATCAACAAATAAATGTTTGACATAAACATAACCTAAAATCTAAATATTTAGTTATGTATATTATAGGTTTCATGTGTATAATAACATAATTATTAACATATTTTAGGACTAAGCAATTTAAAATGTAATTGTTATTTGTTAAGAAAGTGAAGCAAATGTGTTAAAAGTAAAATAAAAAAGAAAAAGAGTAGTGGAGATATTTTTGGGTCCTAAAAATTGGTTGAGCAGGTAGAAGGAAAGGTCTCAGTGTAATAAAAAAGAATTCAAAGTCCTCCTTTTCTTGAAACATTTTTCTTTATAAACATTTAGAGTACATATACTCTAATTTATTTGATGCATCAGTGATAATTTATAGTTAAAGTAAACCATCTATAATAATAATTGCATTTTAAAGCTGCATAAAATACGCGCGAAACACTTCAAACTCTTTAAAATTTACGATTCGCGCTAGCGCTTTCGCGACACGGGGGTACGACAAAGACAAAACATATATCATTCCGTCTTCTTTTGATGGAAACGCTCGCCACTCATTGCTTAGATAGGGAGTCAGCGATATAGAAGATAGTATATATATGAACACCCCCCACAACTTATATATTCAAAAAGAATTTACAATATTTAAAGAAGTTCGGAATTCTACAAATTTACCGTGACTCAGTCCTTTTGTCGCCTTTTGATTATCTGTTGGAACATACTTTACATCAACAATCCCATTCATACACAAATCCCGCACAAAATTGTACTTAACATCAACATGCTTCAATCGCTTATGCTCCCATTTGTCCAACAAGTAGATAACAGACTGATTATCTTCAAACATTACAACAGGAATCTCAATCTTAACCCCCATGTCGTCTAACAATTCTTTCAACCAAATAAGTTCAGTGACAGCCGTAGCCAAGGCTACATATTCGGCTTCTGTCGACGACAAAGCCACCGACGTTTGTTTTCTAGTTGTCCAGTGAACCACTGCTCCATAAACTTCAATTATATATCGACTCGTTGACTTTCTATCCCTATCAGTCGCCCAATTGGCATCTGCATATGAAACCAACACTTCCTTTTTACTTGATCGTTCGTAAAACAATCCATAATCCAATGTTCCCTTTATGTATCGAAGTATTCGTTTCAATCCCCGCCATTGTTCTTCAGTTGCATTACTTTGGTAGCGGCTATAATAATTTACCGCTACACTCAAGTCAGGTCTTGTTGTTAGCATTAAATACATCAGACAGCCAATCAATTGCCTATAAGGCTTTTCATCCACAATACACGTACCTTCAGTATTTTTATCATACAATTTTGCGTCAATTGGCGTTTTTGATGGTTTGCACTCTTCCATATTAAATTTTCTTAAAAGTGACCTTGAATAAGACGAACAACCCTCTCGTTGTTTCTTGTATATTTATTCCCAAGAAGAAGTTTAATTTTCCCAAATCTGTCATTTGGAAATTGTCTTTCAAATTTGTTATTGTTTGTTGTATAAAATCGTTCTTGTGATCAGCAATTCTTCTTTTCTTTTAAGTTTGTGTACAAACAGAAATCGTTTTGAGATCTTTTAAATCCCTGTGTCACTATAAAATTATTATACTTCTCATTCCAGGCTCTCGGTGCCTGCTTTAACCCATACAACGTCTTGTTAAGTTTATATACCATATTCGAATTTTCAGTTATTCCTTGTGGAATTTCATATACATTTCTTCTTCCAAATCGCCATGCAGAAACGCATTTCTCACATCCAATTGGTATGCAAACAGATTATGAGTACTAATTATTGACAATAATGTTCTAACGGTTGTCAAACGTGCAACAGGCGCATATGTTTCATTGTAGTCATATCCCTTCCGTTGAGAACATCCCTCGATAACGAGTCTAGCCTTGCGTCTTACTGGTTCATCCTTTTCATTCTTCTTTACTTTAAATACCCATTTACTTTCAATTGCTCTCTTATTATCTGGTAATTCTTGCAACGTCCATGTATTATTTGTTTTTAAAGATTTTAACTCTTCATCAACAGCTTCCAACCAATGTTCTTATCTTCTCTATTTTCGATCTCTTCACAATCTTGTGGAGCTTCATGTACAAATGTTTCAGCATTCAATGCGTACACTGCATAGTCATCTAGATATTTAGGTCTTCTCCTTTGGCGTGCTTCTTTTCGTTTTTCCTCTCTTGTAATTCCTTCCGTTTCTGTGTTCTCTTTTATTGCGATCTTCTGTTCTATGTTTTCTTCTATTACTCTTTCCTGTTCGCCATCATCTGAACTTACTTCATCTTTGTCAACATTTACAATTAATTTTTGTGAATCAAAATTGTATTTAAATTCATTATTACATCTCTTCCAGTATTTATTTTCTTGTTACTCGGACAATATAACCGATATCCATTTGGACAGTAACCTATCATAAATACTTTCAGGGATTTACTTGCAAATTTACTCTCTACTAATTTAGATGGGATTTTTAAATAACCAGTGCAACCAAATAGCTTAAGTTTGTCTAGATTTGGCTTATGTCCATACCACAATTCAGATGGTACAACCTTTTCTAATGCAGTTGTAGGCGATCTATTTATCAAATAAACTGCTGAGCGAACCGCTTCAGTCCAAAAACCCTTTTCCAAATCAGTGTAAAGGTTGGTGATGATGGTGTAAAATGATGGGATCTCCGGGTTAGAATAAACGCATAATTGCTTGTCTTAATTACTGCATTTATTGACAACATTTAAGTTACACGACGTGTCACCTTTCAGTACCTTGAGCATACTCTCTTTTCGAGCGATGACAGCCTCTACACAATACCTAACGTGCGTCATTTAGTGCTTACTATTAACTATCTTAACCTACTTAACAATTTGTTATTATTACACTACATCAGTATCCAGCAACATACATCTCGCTTTTTCTATGATTGTGCGGTTCATCCGCTCTGCAACACCATTCTGTTCCGGTGTATACCTTACCGTAAATTC